TACTCTCTCTCTCTCTCTCTCTCTCTCTCTCTCTCTCTCTCTCTCAAACCAGAATTCAAGGTAAAACCCTACTCTCTCTCTCTCTCACTCTCTCTCCCAGTACTATAGTTATGTGCATAGACACAGGCCTGAACTGGTTTTTCTCACTGGAGCTCTACCTAGCATCCAAATCAATGGTAGATATACCATTCAAAAAACATGAAAATCTACCAAATTAATGGTAGATATATGGTAATATAGACATAGACATAAGCCACAAAAAGAAGCATGTTAGCTCTCACTTGTTAAAATTCTTCATTCATTCTTTTGTGACAGATGATTATCCAATTCAATTCATTAGTTCAGTTTTGATGGTTAGATAGTCTGTTTAGTGTTATGCCAAGCATTCCAATGAGTTATGGACATGCATGTGTTTCACATACATACATGCATTAGTGCATATACAGGTTTTATCATGTTTTTGTACTAATTTTTGCATGCATATGCATTACATCCATGCATACATGCCTGTACAAAAGGAGATTTAATGCTAGGAGACTATTTATCTTTCATACAAAGAGCTGATAATCACCCATAAACATCAAAGGCAAAAGAGTGATTTACATTCAGACCCTAATTTTTTTTTAAAAAATACGAAATGCTTCATTCATAAGCCGAAATCACAAAAAAAGTCGGTTGACTGCTTTTTTTTCTTTTCCACATTGCCCTTCGGTTTGAGGATGGAATACTTGGTCTAAATTTTAACTTACTCTTTTTAATTTTTTCGTTAGTATGACAGTGCCCGAAGCTTTAGGATAGTGCCTTACTAACAAAAAAACTAAAAAAAAAATTTAAAATTTGGTCGGAGGATGTCTTTAGACTGAGGGGCAATTTTGAAATAAATAAATAAATATGTGAGTTGACCTACTTTCTTTGTAATTTTCACTTATAAATGGAGCATTTTATATTTTAGGAAATAATTTAGTGTCCGTAAGTAAATCACTCAATCGAAAAAATAAGGTGCCAAAGTTCAAAAACTTTCTTTGGACTTTGAGCCCAGTCAACAAGACACTCCCAACTACCCGATTTCATATCCAACGGCTAAAATTGATCGTGACTTCCTTATACCAAACCGGCCTTATTTACTTTTCTTATACATATACACACATGCACATGAACTTCTTTTTTTCAAAAAAGAATTACATGTACATGAATTAATTTCCTTTAAAATGTACAGTAACTCAGTTTTTAATTTTAGGCCACCAATTTTATGTAACTGAACAAAAATGGAGTACTTAATCAAAGGTATGTAGCATGCACACATGTGCACATACACACACATGTTAGTAGTATATGTTTGACATTAGCAAAATACAAATGTGGAAAGAACTAAAATTTAGGAAAAGAAAAGCTAGTAAACTCATCATGTGAAAGATCAAGAAAATCACAGGAATATAGCTGGTGGGGTCAAATCAAATATAAAGAAATTGAGAACTATGGGAGGTGCAAAAGGGCGCTTTGATGAGAGAGAGAGAGGGGAAAAAGAAGAGGGTGCTTCTACTTCTGAGAGAAAACTCACGAAGAAGAGCATGAATGAGAGAGACAAGAAGAGGGTAATTCCACTTCTAAGGAAAACTCTTGAAGAAAAGTATGAGAGAAAGAAAGGAGTGTGCTTCCACTTCTTAGAGAGAGTTCATGAAGACGAGTATTAGAGAGAGAAAAAAAAAGAAGTGGGTTCTTCTACTTCTAAAAGAGAACTCTTGAAGAACAGTATGAATGAGAGAGACAAGAAGCGTGTGCTTCCATTTCTAGGGAAACTCTTGAAAGCTAGTACGAGAGAGAGAGTGCTTCCACTTCTTAGAGACAATTTATGAAAAAGAAGTAACGAGCAAAGTCAATGATAGCAAAATCAAACTATTGGCTGGGCTTTTTGCTATAGCGAAGCACAATGTCTTTCGCAGCAGAAAAAAGCCTCTTCAACTTGTGCTTTTATGTTCAGTGTTGCACAGCACTCTCAAACTTTTTGACATTTAGAGAGAGAGGAAAAAGAAGAAGGTGCTTCATCTTCTAAGGGAAAACTCTTGAAGAAGAGTATGAATGAGAGAGACAAGAAGAGGGTGCTTCCACTTCTAAGGAAAACTCTTGAAGAAGAGCATGAGAGAGAGAGAAAGAGAGAGGGTGCTTGTTTGAAAAGTGAATGATGAGAGAGACACAAATGGGCCCAAAAAGCTCAAAATATGGTGCTCTAAAGAATCTCACTTTTGTTAAGGCACCGTGGGTGTGAATAAATAATTACAAAACCTTCATGTTGACTTTAGTAATGTTGTTACTACCAAACTTCTATATACTAAACCTAGCTAAGAATCTTTTCTCAACTTTTTTGTCAAACTAGAAATAATCCATTAAGATTTTAATACTTTAACATTGAACATTAAGAATTATGATTGACCCATGTATGTATGGTTAAAGCTTTTTCGGTGTATTTTCACACATAATTTATGTGCTTGGAGACCCACAAAATCAAACAACTAGAAGAGACAAGAGAATGTCACTAGTTGGCTCCAAGAATGTTTAGTACGTCACAAATGAACAGCCTCGTTCTTGGCACACTGTCAGCAATCCAATCAAATCAAATGGTTGAATGACTCTGAGAATATATAAATTATATATGTATGGGGACATATAGGAAGTATTGCCATACAAATATTTAGCTCTAAACAACAATATATGCACATATATTTGCACAAATTATTTCTTAGAATCTAGTCTACCCATTCACAGTCAAACACAGGCATGCACATATAAGTGCATGCATGAACTTATCATAAATACACACACATGTATATATGTATGTATACACATGTATGAAGACATACTTCTACATGTTTGCACATATAGGCATACATGCAAGGACATGTATAAACTTTCATGCCTGCATACATGTTTGCATATAATTTCTTTTTTTTATTTAGATGAAAGGTACAAGACAAAGACCATATGCTTTTGGTACAAGAAGGTCATAATCCCTATGGCCATTAGATGTGATATCATGTGGCTTAAGATGCGTCATTAACCAGTTTCACAGTCTAACAACAAATTTCTTGGGCTTTAGGCACACCTTAAGCTGTCGGATCTTACATCAAATAGTGTGGAGTGATTGTGACCTTGTAATATAGATAAAAGTTCTTATAGTATACAATCCCATATTTGAAAGTACATGTGGATCTATATGTGATACTCTTAGGCATTTTGCAGAAAGACTTGGTACAAGAAAGCCATGGAAGTAGCAAATCAATGGCTGAGATTCGTCGAGTTCCCTCTTGGTCCCGAAAAACCTACAAGGCTGAGGAAATCTTCTTCCTCTAGGGGCGCCTCTTCCCTCACTAGAGTGTGCCTTTGTGCACCTATCTCTTCATACACTGAGGTCTTTAGGGCCGAGTACCCCCCAAGAAGGAGCAATAGTTGCTCGAGATCTCGGCCTCTCTCCGTGCCCGATCAAAATTACTCTCCGAGAAACGGAAAGAGAGAGAGTACATCATCACTTAGTGTTAATAGAAGGGTTTTTAGGGGAAAATCTGTAACTGATAATTCACTTATGAGGAGATTTGTGGTGGAAGAGGAGGCAATGATGCAAGTGAGGAGAAGAAATGAGATGGAGTTGGTAAGGAGAAGGAGCTCGTTGAAGAGAAAGAAGATTGGGCCTAGCCCTCTCAGTAGAATGGTATTGGCAGAGGAGGTTAAGATATTATAAGTGTTTTTTGCCCATTTTATCAGTTTTTTTTCTATTTTGTTTGGTCTGAATTGTGGGGTGTATATTCTCATTTTTTTTTAAAAGATTACTGGCATATCTCTCTCTCTCCCCTCCTCTCTCTCTCTCTCTCTCAATTTTTGAAAATTTCTGGACTCTTTCTTTAAGCACAATTCAAAGGGGTGCAGTTTTATAAAGCTTCAACCTTAAAGAATCAAAGTAAGGCTCATCTCCAAAGTTCAAACCATGCTGAATAAATATGCAATTTTAGTGCCAAAAACACTTGTAATAGCTCTGAAACTTTTTTCATCTCTGGTTATAAAATTTAAAGCTCCAAAAATGGCGTCGATCAAGCAAATCTACAAATACTTCAAAATTTTGAAAATGGATAAGTGCTACAAGATGCACTATTTCAAGACCTAAAATCATTTTGTTTTCTATATGCATATTTCCCGAGGTTAAGATAATGAATTGGACGGTTTTCTAATGTTGAAACAACCTTTTCTAGGGGTCTTTTAGGTGTGTCTTACTTCTATAGTATAAGATCGACATTTATATAAGCTTTTTTTCGGTTCAAAGACAATAAAGTTTTTTTTATGCTCAAAGACAATAACTTCCTATTTTCTTTTATTTTTCTCTTTTCTTGAACAACTCCAAATGGGTGAATAGAGGATTCATCATCTCAAGTCTCTCCTACCAACCATTGTGGTTGATGTATGCATATTTTACCCTATCATAATATAAGCTATTGTTTAAAGGTGCTATGATCACTAGGAAAAATTCTTAAGTGATATTTTAATTTTAATTTCATTTGAGTACTTCCTGAAAATATATTTTCAAAGATGTCTAAATTGCCCATGTTCATTCCAATAATTTGACCCACCTAAAAGAAGCTGATGTACTTTGCATTTGATATATTATATATAATATTTATCTAATATAATAAAATATAAGATATTTATATATTATGTATATAATATTTATATTATTATTTGCTATATTATATATAATATAAATATATATATTATATAAAATATAATAAATGTATATTATATTTATATATAATATAGTATAAATCTATAGTAATATTATATTATATTATATCATATTAATAATACTAATAATATGTATTTATATTATGCATAGTGAATAGTGATCAACAAAAAACTTCTGAAAGATTAAGTTCTTAACCCTTTAGAAACTTAATCTTTCACCTTTTAACAAAGGAATGAGAATTTTTGTTGAAATATTAGTCTTTAAATTGTTTATAAAAAGTATGAAACAAATGCGAAACTTTTTCAAAATTTAAAATAATACGTTCAAAAAAAACAAACATGTCCTTAATGATGATGACCCTTCTATGATATTTTTCCTAAATCTTAAAAACTTTTCTTCTCTTATGAAAGCAATTTCAAGATTAATCAAATGTCAACTACTAAAATTGTAAATAGTGCGTGTAGCATGCTTATGTGGGAGCATACTCTACATTAACTCCGTCAGGCAAAAGATCAACTTAATAGATTTTTTTAATATGAACTTCGGGATTCTACCAAAAAAATCATTAGATGATTATCTTAAGAAATAGATTTTGTATTCTTCAAGACTTAGATCTTCCCCTTCAAAATGTAATAGTTCCCAGTCAATATTGGGATGTTATATTTTTCAAACACATAAGAGTGCGTGATTTGAATGTGTGTAGTATCGAGTAGATTATTGCCAATAACGCTTTATAAAATCATTAAAGCAGTCAAAATATCCTAACAGTAGAGGTTTATTTTTAAATATCTATTTTAGTTAGGTGCATTTTCAAAAAATATCCTAAAAATGCTTAAATCACCAAGGGTTAGGAACTTTGAACGAGCGGAGGCATTTTAAATAAGCATCAATTAAGCTTTGTTGAATGGAAAAGGTTGTATTCAACAAAATTTTGAGAAATTTACTTGAGAATCCAAAAAAGATTCGGTCCTATGATATGATTTATATTGTGGGTCTTTTTTACATTAGTTTCAAAAGTATCAAGTTTTTTTATACTTATTTTACCCTGGATATGAGAGCCTAACTTTTGTACCGGTAAAAATATATACGAAACTATGTTTGTATTATAAAAAGTTTGGACTTTCAAACTATCCAAAAAACTAAATGTTTGTGTGGTTTGAAAGTCAAACCACTCAATACACAAAAGATAAAAAAGTAATTATTTGGATAGTTGGAAGTTGGACTCTCGACCCACTTAAAAGCGTAGTTTTTTTTCTATGGAGTGGATCAAAAAGTGTACTTTGGAACGGCCCAAATAAATAAACTTTTTAGTGTTTTTGGCAGTTCGTAAGTCTAATTTTTGGACTACCCAAACACATTTCTTTTTTTATTTTTGGAGTTCAAAAATTAGACTTCTAAACCAACCAAACATTTAGTTTTTTTGTGTTTTCGGCAATTCGAAAGTTGGATCTTCAACCTGGGGGTATAATGAACATTAAAAAATAAACTGACAATTTTTGGACCTCAACGTAAATTGACCCAAAATACAGACTATTTTTGGGTCCTTATATAGATTTCCCTAGAATTTTGGATGAAAAACTTACATGCCTAAGCCATTAGTTTTTTGTTTTGGGTAAGTAAAAGAAGGGAAAGTCAGTGAGGATTTGAGCCCCGTAGTGAGAATGGGGTCCGAGACTTAATCGTAGAGCTTGGCAGCCAGCCCATTCTCCCCTCAGCCATTAGTTGTGAACTTTGTTGTAAAACCTCTTTTACAACTGCTTCAGACCATCATGTGTGGAATTGGATGGCTGTGGTGTATCTTTCCATTGCTAGAAGTGTCTTTAAAAGTTAAAAATCTGCAAAGGTTTTTGACAGGCTTTAAGCAAAGGACTATAGCTCCTAGCTAAATGGATTTCAATTAAGAACATAATTGTGCTCACTGAATATAAACCCATAACAAATGCGCTCCTGCCAGAGTAGAGAAGTACACTTGCCATGCACTCTAGGAAATTCTTTTGATCTGAAATTTTGAGATACACTTCCATAACATAGTATAATACAAGTATCTTCAAAAGAGAAGAATCTTGGAATTTTGAATTGTACTCTAGGCATTGTAAAGTTTTGATTTGATCCTGTGAGTATTTTTCAGGAATATCTTGAGCGTGCATTCATTTATTTTATTTTTAAGGGATTGTTATAAGGAGTTCACAATTATTCCTAGCCATAGGATATCAGATTGGATGGCTTGGATTGTGTCATGAAGTTTGAGCAATATTTTCGTGAACTTTGAGTCCAGTCAATTATACATTTACAACCGCTTGATTTAAAATCTAACGAACAAAGAGCAATTGTGGCCTCATTATACTAAAAATAAACAGTCTCTATATATAGTTTCCTTTTTCTTTTTTAAATGATTCAATTTCTTTTTATTTCTTTAAGTTGGTTACTAGATTGGGTAGGTTGTATCCCCAAATTTTGAGGTTCCAAAAAATACTTTGAGCTAGGGTTTTGCCTGGAGGAGTAGACTCACATTGTGCTCATGTAGGAGCATATGATCATTAACGCTCTCTTTGAGGAGGATATTTTTGCCTTTTTTTTTTTTTTAACAAATCTCGTATGGTTTCCTACGCTTGAGGGAGCATTTTATCCATTTGCTCGGTCAGACGAAGGTATAAGTATTTTAGTACCCAAATTTGTGGATGTATCCTCTTGAACCTTGTGAAAAACGTCAAAATAAATAAATAAATAAAAATCAGAGTTTTAAACAGACTGTGTATATGCCCCAAAAATAATTTCATGAAATTGAACAGAGGCCTTCTAATTTTTTGATTGTTTGATCTAAATGTTCAATAACTCAAAATTCAGTTATTTTTTTAAAAATAATCATTTAGTGATTCTTAAGTGGATTCCAAACTTTCAAATTAAGAAAATTATTCGCAGGTGCTCCTTTATACAAGTGTGTTAATATACAATCTGCTCCTATGGGAGCACGCTGTACCTGCAACTGGACCAAGAGTCGGGCAATTCCGGGCCTCAAGACCTTGGAATCCTCTTGGTCACCGGTCTTTTCATAAAAAATTTCAATTTTTTCGACTCGGGTTTGCCCAAGTCAAACATGGCCTGGCGCTCCAACCCAACAGACTCCAGGTCCATATTTTTAAACTCTAATTTCAACTCTCACTCCCCTCGTTAGAACCCTAATCCCTAGACCACAGGTCCATATTTTTGAACTCTAATTTCAACTTTCACTCCCCTCGTTAAAACCCTAATCCCTAAACCACCACTACTAGTAGAGCTATCTTTGCTCTATGATTCCCTAATCTATATGAAGAAAAGGGTAGGAGCCGGTTTTTTTAAATGAATTATGAAAAAAAAAAAAAATCTTTGCTCTGTAAGAGAGAGAGAGAGAAAGAGGGGGGGAGGGGACTCTTTCAAGTGTGGGTGTGGATAAAGCATGAACTTACCCTAACACAACCATAGGGACAACCAAACTAAGGTAAGAAATTGATTGAATGAGATTGATGGGACATGAAAATAAATAAATGTACATTCTTCAATGATGTTCATAACTAAACGAAGCCTTTATCCTTGTTTTTAGGTGAGGGAATAAGAATATATTAGAACTGGGGCCTATTTTCTTCTCCAGTGGCTTGAGTGGCTTAAAAGCAAAGCCACAGTGGTCCTCCACCATCTCACATAAATAGTACTTGTTAACTACCAACACGAAACGAAATTACTTCCCCTTTAAAACACCATCATCATAAACAAAAACCTTGAAACTAAGATGAAATTATGAGGCTTTGGTGCGGCTGCGGCTTTACAGAATTTGGCAATGCCATGCCTCAGAATCGTCGTAGAAAAGTAAATTAAGTGCTGGAAGACCTTGTGAGTGCATGAAAATCTACCGACGCCTCTGGTTGTGGAATCTGAAGCTTTAAAAATAGTGGAGATTTGACTATGGAACGATTAAAATAGAAGATCCATGAACCTTCAAAAATAGTGGAGATTTGGCTATGGAACGATTAAAATAGAAGATCCAGAAAGACAAAGTGTTGCCATAACATCGGATTGCTAGGGTTGGATGTTTCACCTACTTATTCATGTCGGATCGGTGATCTAGATCTGTTCGAACGACGATCTAAGGAAAATAGCAATAATAAATGAAATAAAACAAATGTTAAAACAGAAGTTTATAGGGTGAGGATTTAGAGATGATCTAGAAATATTTAGATAAGCTTAAAAGAACAGAAAAATTTTATAAAAGATTTTAAGAAGGAATCAAGTGGGACCCATATTAGTAAAACTAGTTCGATCTCGACTAATTCTAATCGACGATCCGAATCGAAAATCGGAGGGTTTTAAAAAAGTGCTACTTGGTAGGGAGAGATGTTGAGAGAGAGAAAAAGAGGAGAGAGGCTTTCTAGGCAAGTAAAGTGAGTTTGGTGATTGGAGTGTGCAAGTGGAGAACCCTTCTCTAACCGCCCCCATCATCACCACAAATCATAATCTTCACTCTTTTATTCTCCATCTCACCACACTTAAACGCAATACTTTATGCCCCCATCAAACCTACGGCCCAGATTTTGCATCACATACCCTACGATGTAATGTGGACCCTACAATATCTCGATTTAAAATCTCGTCCGTCCATGTTATCATGTCATAAGGGGGTGAGGTGCACGTGTGGCCTACGCGTGGACATATGATATAAGTTGCAAAGGCGAAAGAATATCAAACATTGCAAGGAAGGTGTAGAGAGAGAAAGGAATATGAAGAGGAAAAAGAAAGAGAGAGAAAGAGAAGAACAAAAATTGTGCAACAAAGGAGAGGGCCAAGGCAAAGTATCCAAGGATCGAAAGAGGACCCGGCCTCTCTCTCTCTAGGTGTGAGGTGTGGAAGATTCAAGGACCAACTCTTTCTCTCTCTACAGGAGAGTCCCTTCAAGGACCATATCTCTCTCTCTCTCTCTCTCTCTCTCTCTCTCTCTATTTGCTTGAACAAGGCAGAATTGTAGAGCCATTTTACTTTTGTTATCAAAATCTCCTGTCTGAGAACTCTTGGAATAAGGTTCAGCAGGTATGATGTTGCTAACTTCCATGTGTTACTACTTTTTCTTCTCTGATTGATTTGTTCGTGCGCCGGTTAGAGAGAGAGATCCCTCTTGCTTGCTTCACTTTTGTGTGTGTGTTTGTGTGAGAGAGAGCAGAGTTGATTCCAACTGCTTGGTTTACTTAACAGAGAGAGAGAGCAGTGGTTCGACTCGGAACCGTCGGTCAAACTGGAACCGCGCACTGACCGATTCGAAGAGAGAGCGATGTAGTATGAGTCAAGAGTTATGTCTTATGAGAATTTGAAACTCTCTCTGCATTAGAGTTTCTGCAGATAGGACCTTCCATTAATTATGTTTTTGCACCCAATATCTTGTTACCATTTTCTTTTGCATTGAACCCATCTGAATTTTTTAGTTGTTTTCCTTATAGTTATCTGTGAAAATTGGCTTCTTATTGTCTATTTGGCACTCCAAGTGCGGAATCGACCTTCGTCTATTAAATGCAAAACTAAAAAAATTCAAATTAATTTTCACCGAGAATATTTCTTTTTCTTAAAAAATTATATCATGAGCTTGGAAACAAGATAAGGGAATTTTAATATTTTGGCCCCACTTAAATTATTTGAGCTGAGAGGTGCAAATACTTTCCTTATTCTGGTTTTTAAAAGTTGAACATATTTTTTTACAGGTTTAAAACTTAAAATAAGTATGAATAATTAGGTCATTTGGCTCTAGAGTAGCCAAAATACCCTCACTTTTTAAGGATCTAAACCTAAAATTTTGGTATTTTTTATAAAATATTGACAGATATAAGTGAAATGATTTTCAAATAATATTAAAAATGTTGTTTTTGTAGTATGTTGGCCGAACTACTCTTTATATATTATTAATGTTGTTTTTGTTTCACAATATTAATTTAGACTACTTTTTATAGTTTTGTTTCACAATACTAAATGCAAATTTGATAGGTTGCTTGAAGAAGGGGAACAAAGAGGAAAGTGATGGTAGACACATCATGGGCAAGAAAGGCAGTTGGTTTTCAGTGCTCAAGAGGGTCTTCTTACCCACCTCCAAAGAAAAATATGAAACAGTAACATACTCTCTCTCTCTCTCTCCTCTTCTCTCTCTCTCTCTCTCTCTCTCTCTCTCTCTCTCTACTCTCTCTCTCTCTCTACTCTACTCTTGTACTCGTACTACGTACTACGTA